ATCCACAGGTTTAAAGAACATCTTGGATGTGTTTCTGTTCTTTGCGCTTCCCTTCTGTTTTAGTAGGGACATGCTCAGCACGGTGTTGTAAGGTTCTGATTAATGAGAGTTTGTGTTCCAGTGGGTGGCATGAGTCAAAAGGAAGATATTGGTCTGTGTGAGTGGATGTTCTATAGACTTCAATATTGAGGTTTCCATCTCCTTCCATGCTCACAAAACAACCCCGGAAAGGTAGCTTGTTGTTGTCGGCATCCTCTCTGGTGAATTTGATGTTGGTTTAGAACTGTTCTTGTTGTAGAAACAGATTGTAAAGTATGTCTGTTTTTATTCAGCAATAGATGTTTTTATTCATGTAATAAACCCATCAGGGAGGTTACTGGTACTTGAATCTAATAGTTTTAAAGTCATCTGGGTTAAACTTTTATTGATACATCATAGCACTTATCTAAAAGATGTTAATTCTTTAATTATATTCATTTACACAAAATACGATATAAAGTAATTGTAAAGGTATTCAAAAAGATATAGCCTAAATTTTCTTTCAATTCAAGCACTTCCTCTGTTCTATCTCTTTAATCAAAAAAAGAATGAAAGGACAACACCTTCGCTTTACCAGAGCTTGTTTCTGTAGTATATATATGATTGAAATAATAAAATAACACCTTTATCAGCAGGTCATGTACCTTATAATTATACATATTATTTATACAACATAAAAATATTTCTGTATTACAGCATATATGGGTGATTCTTTAACTACGGGCACTATTGGCCTTGCAAACTTGAAGAGGAAAAAAATAATAAAATATTAATGTAATGTAATCGGTTAGCATTACTAGTCTAGTTTAAAGATTCATAAGAGAACACACTGATTTTTTAAGACAAATTGGTGTTTTTTAACAGATTTCCCAACTCGGCTGGCACAAATGTAATTTTCATCACATAAATATTTGTCACTTATTCTAAAATACTCTTATACACATAATGTTTTTTCACTGGAAGAACAATTTCATATGTAGTTTTAACTGTTTATGCCTTTATTGTAAAACACATACATTTATGAATTAGGTAAATTAATTGTGATGAGGACAAGACGCAACTCTTATGTTCGCCATAACCTGAGATATAGCATTGAAATCGCAAGATACATTTCAAGGTGTAAATACTTGTGTTTTTAATTATAGTGGAAGATTATCTCTTAAGTTATGAAGAAGGTTTTAATGAGTGATTAGAATTTTGCAACAATTTATTTAAAAACAAATGGTTTGGTGGAAATTACACAGCATGGTGGAAATTACTGGTTGTTGTGGAAATTACAATGAATGGACCATAGAGAAAACAAAACTCTCTTTTCAAAAACTTTATGGAGCATGATAATAAATAAAAATAATTTTAAAAAATACATTATTAAATAATAATAAATTAATTGCAGTTGTGCATATGTGGTACTAAGGGTGGGAGAGAGGGGGTGGCACCACCGCAAAATGCTTAGCATGTAAATTATAGTTAGAAACATGTCAAAAGTTGTCTAAAAAAGTGTTATTTTATAATATTGCCACATTGTTGTAATAATAAAATGAGATAAATAAAATGTGAGAACAAGGGCCTTGTATGTGTATCTATGAATTACGCCTATACACATAAATGTCATTTCCACCATACCATTGTAATTTCCACCAAATAATACAATGTGGTGGAAATTGCTGTGGTGGAAATTACAATCTGACAGAAATTGGCGGGAAAATCTATGCTAGCATCACATACTAGCTAAGAAAGGGTCTCTAGCATTTTATGCTTACAAAATACATCTATGTGTGTTAAAATTATTAATTAATTTTCAAACTGAGCTGATGTTACGGCATGTTTGTAAATTACATACAATTAAATTTTTTTCATGGTTATTATGGCAATGTATCTTGGACTGAGACTTGTCGCTTCCTTGCCACGGTTTGGATGGGTTGGGGGGAAAAAAACCCTGATCGATTGAAAATATACCCTCAACCTGTATTATAGTCAACAAACAAGAAACTGTTAGGAATCTAGGTTGTGTGGGTTGTTTGTGTGTTTTCTCTCCCTCCACCACCAGGTGGTGCCCTGTTCTCGTTGGCCTTCCTGCATACCTGCGGTTCGTTGGTTCATCGCTGAAGAGTATTTGAGCGGCGGACTGTCACTGCTTTGACGCCAGAGTGTTTGCCAGTTTTGGGTACTCTAGCCAGGCTGAGTTTAGCTGAGACTAATCTGACCCTTACTTTCTCTGAGTCTAACTTTGTTTTTGTCTTTGCCTATTTGGCAGGAAGCCTTCCTGTGTAACCGGATGCCTGGCCTTCTCCCCCTGGAAGGATTAACTGAGTTCACACTGAGCAGGGGAAAATTTCCACACGTTCAAGTCCCTATCGGAAATCCAAGTGACAGTCCGCTCCATTACCCCTCAGGGTCCAACGAATGTCTACCTGTCCGCTCTCCAACGAGTTCCCTCTTCTCTGGATAAACCCACACCAACTGGATCAAGGAAGGACAAGAACTCCCTCAAAATGTGAGTCCCGCTTCCACTGTGCTTAAGACTCGATCAGTCTTTCCTACGGCCCATGAACTGATCACTGTGATCTCCTCTCCAGACCTTCCAGTTCCGGTTCACCAGTTCTCTGTGTTCCCCTGGTTCTCTGCATGTGGAACAGCGTGTAAGATTTTATTGAGCAATAAGTGATGTTAATAGTAAAGTCTTAGAAATATTTTTCTGTTAGTTAATTAATTATTTATTAATCTTCACATCTGCAAAATAAGTAGGTCACTGTAGAAAACAAGCAATTAGAAGTCTAGTTTGTTTTTGCCTTAAGTTGTTTAATGTGGAGGAAAGAGAGTAAGAATGTGGAATAAACGCGCTGGGACAAGAAGAAGGAGAAAATTAAGTCAAAAACACTTGTGTGTTAAAAACTAATCACCTAAACCCAACATCCATACTGTTGGTGGCAGCATCATGCTGTGGGAAGGGTTCTCTTCAACAGGGATATTTCAAGAATGCTGGAAAGATGGATGATCAAAAACACAAGATAATCCAAGAAGAAAACATTGCTACAAAAATACTTGAGACTGGGAGAGGAGGTTTTCTTTGCAGCAAGGCAAGAAAACTTAAAAAACTGCCAGAGCTACATGAAATGCTTTATCTGCAATAGAGCACTATATGATAGAATGGTCCAATCAAATTACTGACCATCTTTCAGAAGAATAATCTGTGGCAAGACTTAAAATATTTACTCATATCAAACCTGAATGAACTTGAATTATCTTCAAATAAGAAATGCAAAGAAATTCAGTCTGTAGATGTCACCTCTGGTGGCACATTTCTAAAAGGCTGAAGCTGTTTTTGCAACAACAAAAAAACACAGAACACAAAGTGAGTGTATATGGTTCATTTAAAATCCATGATCTCAAAGCTTTGTTTGACCAGATCTGTGTGGAAAAAATACCTAGTTAAATAAAAGTTGTTATGATTATTTTATTTCATTTACCATTATTTTTCTACAATTATCACTTAGTAAATCACTTAGTAATTGTCATTACAAACTATGGAAATGCAGAAGACTGCAGACTGAAGACTAAAACTGATCCTGGAGGACATCAGAAAATACCACTAACCTGAAAAACTGTCATGATCTTGGCACTGATGACAGGCTTAATTGCTTATTTCATTCACCTGTCCAATTCTTCCCGGGTTCTCATTACCAGTCATCTGATCCACCTCCTCCTTCTGCTATTTTAGCTGCTTGAATCCAGTCATCAGAGCCACATTATTTCTCTCCAATCTGTTGTGAGTGTTTTTAGCGTACATCAGGCCGGGCATACACTGTACGATTTTTTGCCCTTTTTGGGCAATTTTTTGATCAGACCGACTTTAAGCCTGATCGTGGGTCGCACATCGTGTAGTGTACAGGGGGTAACGTGGGACAATCAGCCTCTCACAACCACCTCCTGATAAGGAATCATAAGGTCATGAGCAAATCACTCAGTGTGCATGTGCAAACAAGGATTCTTCTTCTTCCTATCAGATGAAAACATGGCGGGGGTGCGAGTATAATGGAGTTATTTCTGTAAAATTGACAGACTGTAGTAGCCACATTTGCTCAGCCATGTCTTTGTCCAAATACGTTGTTGCCTTTTCTTTTTAGGGCTTTCAGCACAAAATTGCACAAATTGCCAAGGCAGCAACGTTCACTTTAGTGAGCTTCATATTCATCTTCTACTCATTTGGCTTTCGGATAGACGAGTCAGAGTAGCGCCATCTCTCTGCAAAGCTGAGTCTGATGTGTTTCTTAGACGTACAATGTGAGCAGCTAGATCGCATCAGATCGACGGGCCGCACAGTGTGAGAACATACACTGAGGTTTCGTCGCATAGTTAGAGCTGTAGCTGAGTGCTACAATTAAAAAAAATCATACAGTGTATGCCTGGCTTTACTGTTTCCGATTTCCTGGTGTGCCTTTCAACCACTAAGCCTGCCTGTTCCTGTTCTGATCTGTTTGCCTGACCTGGCTTCAGACTCCTGGATCTCTGAGCGTGCCATTCGCCTGGATTGCAGTATCTGGGACACTGTAGGTGGCGCCCGCTGCATCTTGTTGGCAGCCCACCGGCTGGATCCTACGCACATAATCTTTATCCATTAGATGTACATTGTCACCAACCCGTTTCCTTTCTGCAGAGTTTCCTGTGATAGACGCCCTAGCCACTACTGAGTGAGTCAGTCTAGCTGGTCAGGCTAATATCAATCATGAACAAAGACCATAACAAAGGTCTAGGGTGCTTTTGATGCTCAGAGTAATCAGAATATTCTTTTTAAAATTTGGTAGAAATCAGTTTTAGAAGTATAATGCAGCCTTCCAAAATGTATGATCAGTCACAATTAATTCATAGTTGAAGTAGGTAACTACCGTTTCCAAGTACTGCAAATTTAGTTTTGTTTGCTTGCTTTTTCTTAGGAAATCAAATTATTTAAAAACTCATTTTTTATATATTTTAATGATCTGCATTATAAGTCAAATCCAATGTCAAATTTGAAATAAACAAATCAATTTAAAAAAAAGAAAAACACAAAAACCAGTTACAAATCAGCACAAACAGGAGCCAGAAATGTCCCCAAACACACAGATACAAGTGTAAGAAAAGAAGCTGCACTGAAAAAAAAAAATCAATAAAAAACAATACAGTTGTTTTTCTGATATCTAGTCACAGATTGATAAGGTCTATTTGAATAAAATTTCTGTTTTTAACAGAGGAAATAAGTTAGGAAATAAAATGTCTTTTGTTGTGGTTTTGGGCCATTTTCAGCAGCTTAGGAAGGACTAGAGAAGGGTTTGATCAGACCGAGATCCATGGCCTTGACCAGACATGTGCGTGCCACGTCGATGGGATCCTGTCTCTTAGGATTGTCCTCTGCTTTTCCAATCACACTAAGGATTTCCAGCATTTCACTCTCGATTAGTTTTTTGGCCAGCTCCATGTCATCGGAGCAGAGCATGTTGTAGACTATCACCAGACCTCTGTGCTGGATATTCGGGTTGGTATGGAGACATAACCTCTGCAGGATCTCCAGCCACTGTACTGTCTGTTTGAGAGGAAACAGACACTCAGTTTGCATCTGACCAGCGGATTCATAGTAAATAGTAAATGTATAGTAAAAAAAGACTAGAGTTGAACGTACCACACGGGTCATTTTAGTACAAAGCTTTTTCTCAGCAGCAGTGATCATGGCCAAACCTCCAGCTGCTGCTATCTGAAGTTTTTCATCATCTTCTCCGCAAAGCAGCACCAGCAACTTCAGTTTATCGTTGCCATCTTCAAGGTAACGAGCTTGAACCTACAACAGTAAACAGTCTTGTTTACCTTAATTTTGCATTCACCATGCATGCATAGACGTTCACAATGTTATGCAATCTGTTCTCACCTCTTTGCATGTTACCAGATTGCACATGCATTCAGTGGCAGCCAGTTGGATCTTTTCATTCTCTTCAAACATGTGGTTCTCGATCTCTGGCAGAGCTTTTTCTTTTACCAGTTTTATCCTGAAAGATAAGCAAAGGTTGGACCACAAGGAATGCAGCCGAGTTACGTTTGGGAAGTGATCGATTGATCTATTTTTATTAGTTTATGTGAGGCAAACACAACTTCACTGAACCTTGGAAATGTTACCTCAGCTTTTCACTAAATCCAGCCAAGTTGGTTAAACCTCTGAGAGCCTCATAGTTCTCTGCTCCCTCTTTGTCTGTATGCAACAAGCTGACTAGAGGACGTATCACTTCATACACCTGTAAACAAGGAAAGCTGATATTTAAATGTTTTTTTCAAAAGAAGAACTGCTTCCAATGTGCAGAAACAATTCAAAAGAGTGGAAATTGGATAAATAATTTCAACAATAAGCAAATCAACTTAAATCTGTTGTTTGAGCGACTCATAAAAATGAAAGAACTAAGTAAAAGTTAAAGAGGTATAAAAAGAAAAAGAAAGTTGAGAGTCTTACTCTCTCTCCAGGGAAGGCAATCTCTGGGTTGGAGACAGCTGCTATTTTGGCGAGTGCAAAGCTTGCTTTCACCTTTCCTTTTTCTGTACCCTCAAGAGCAAGAGGTATCAAGGCCTGTGGACATAAGAAATCATACATGTTCAAGATCAGTAAGAGACACATAGTGGTTATACAAACATTAAAGGTAGTTTAAGGAAGTTCTTTTAACAAAAGAGAGAAGTACTAATGTCTTGTTCCTCAGCAAAAGCAAGAAGTCTTGGTTTCATTCTTTATCTATTTGATAAATGTTATTCTTTGGAAGGGTTTGCTTTTTTTTATTTTAAATCAATGGTAGGTATACAAATGACTCACCTTCCCCCCTCCTTGGGCCACTATAGTACCACGATCTCTAGGATCATCTGCCAGTGCCAAGAAAACCCTAAAGATTGGACGTTTTAGCAAAAAAAAATCTGTTATATCTAAGTAGATGCAAAGCCAAATTAAGCTGTCCACATGACCTGAGCATTACGCAATTAACAGCAGCAAACGTCAGCTGGGATTTAATATTTTAATTCAACACAAAGTAATGCATGATTGTGAAATTAAAGGAAAAACAGTCTAAAATGTAAGGTAGTATTTATGCTTTAACAGAGGGGAGTAACACTATGAGCATTGTTATTAAAAATAGAGTAAAATAACCACAAAATTATTTTAAGCACATGGTTTGTGGGCTTTTCTCTATAAAAAGCAGTACATCTTTACTTCTCACCTTGCCAACATCTCCTTGGTCTGATCGGTCAAGATAGCGCTATCTGCTTTGACCATAACAGCAAGAGCGGAAGTGACTCCAGCTTTCAGCAGCCGTTTTACTCTCCTTTCAATAAAGTCTTTCTTGTCCTGAAGGAAATGGAAACATGTTTGCATGGTTAATTCATGCATGTAGGCATGCAGATGATGTATTTTACAAATCAACTGTAATGATTTTACCTTGGGGTGTTGCTCAGGAACATGCTGTTTCGAGAACTTGGCCAGCTGAACCAGCTCTGGGATGATTTCTTTCTTATCGTAGCTGTTGGTGCAGTTAACCAGAGTGCAAGCAACTGCATATAAGATTGTCTTATCCCTAGACTGATATTAGAGAGGAAAGCAGAGGAAGTAATTCTGTTAGAATATATTTTGTATGAAGCTGTCAGGACATTATAGATGAAGAATTTACTTCATCATTTGTGAATATCTGAGGCAGTTTAGTTAATTATCCCATGTTAATTATCTCATGGTTTTACTATAGGCATTCCACATTAGCTTCAAACATTAACGTCACATAATACAATGATTTATTTTAGAAAAAAATACTTTTAATTATTATAAAGAAGGAAACTAGAACTTTATGATTCATTAGGAGTTTAAAAGGGTTTGGTATATAAAGCATATTCTCAAATCTGTACCTTTGCCAGATCAAACATGGCTTTCATTGCAAGCTCATCTTCCACAAAGTCATCTTTAACATCTGCATCATTAGTCAGATAGGCAAGACCCTCGATAGCCCACTTCCTTGTTTTTGAATCAATCTGAGGGTTACAAAGCCACCTTGCAAAATAGAAAAAGAAAAATCAGGTGGTGTTACATTTGTTTTTACTATTGTTTTCAACAGACCTATTTTAATAATGTTTCATTAAATCTGTGTGAATACTAACTTTCTGCATTGCTTGGCCAGCTTCTCTGTGGAGCCCTCAGCAAACTGCCTTAAGGCGTAATCATCACCTCCAGCTGAACCCAGTTTACAGAGACCCTGCAGGGTAGATGGACATGTAAACAGACAAAACACAGTGATTTTCTTTAAAAAAAAAAAAAAAAAACAGCCTCCTGCAAAAGTATTCACACCCCTTGAGGCTTCTCACAGTTTTATTGAAATATTTCATACCTCTGTGTATGTTATTGGGATCTTATACTATGCATATTTGTTTAGCAGAAAGAAAATATTCCACAATTTCATGCCTGTTAGAAATGCACTCTCCTGCCTTTACAGCAGCAAATCTTTAGGGGTTTATCTCTAAAGCCTTTGCAAGGTAAAAACAAAAGATTTTCCCCATTCCTTTTCATCATCAGCCATACTGGATGAAGTACCTGTGAATTTTCAGGTATGTTTTCAGGTTCTGGTTTGCATATAGCTCCCATCTATGATCAGTCCATTATAGCACTTTAATGTGCTATGATATAAACCCTTCCACTAAAGTTTTGGCTTTGTTTAGGGTCAGTGTCAGGGGTAGCTGACAGGTGAACCCCGACCCAGTCACGTTTGGCAGCAGCAAACAGGTTTTCCTCCATATTAAGCTCCATCTTTCCTGCCTGCTGTAAAATAGAGCATCTTTACAGTATGATGCTTCCAATATTGTGTTTCATTGTGATAATGGTGGTTTCATGATTTCAAGCATCACCACAGTTTTGAGTTTTCCGTTTAGCCCAAAAAGTTCCGCTTTGATCTCATCTGACTTCCTTATTCCACTTGTTTGCTGTGTTCCCTACAGGGATAAGCTAACTTGGGTACATCTCATGGCTTTCTTCTTTTCACTTTAGTAAAGGGCACTTTTACTGAACTAGTAGTAGTTTTCATCCCTTTTAGATTCCTGTTTGATAAAAAAAAAAAATCCATGCATTAAGTTCCTTTACTTTATAATTAAGTGATATTATGTTTCAATCTATGATGTCATGGTTATAAATTGGAAAATTTTATATTTTTGCAAAACACTGCAAAAGCTGCCCCTCCTCTGGTCTTGGTACACTCACCACCAGGGCACGGATTTTAATCCTCTCGTTCTTGGTCTTCTTGTAGATGTCCTTGAGCAGCGACACGCCGTTGGTGATGAAGAAGGTGGCGCGGCTCATCTTTGTGGAAGCGTGGATCAGAGCCTCGACTGCAACCATCTGGTCCACTTCCCGTTCTGAGCCACACAGCGCCACCATCATCTCCATGACGCCCTGCTGTCCCACCAGAGAGTTGCCGACATCAAAGGGACCCTGCAGCAGTCCTGAGATGGTGTTGATGGCATGAAGCGTCTTGTCCATGTTGTTGGGATCAATTTTAGATCTGTTGCAAAGAAGTAGAGAATTTTGGTAATGAAAAGCAATAACAAATTAACTTGATCTTCTCTTATTTATTGTTAATGAGTATGCTAATACATTAAAATAGTTTTTTTTAGTGGAAGAAATTTGTTTAAAGTGTCAGAATACACATACTCCCACCTTTGTAGATTGAGCAGCATTTTTAGGCTCACTGCTTCAAAAACAAATATCCCAAGGTCACCACCACATCTTCATAATGACTATTAGATGCTATTTACATGCCAATTAGTTGGTGTAAAAAGTCTCCTCTGTCCTTTCAGTGTGAGGGCCTGATCCTCTTTCCCTAGCCTTACATCTTTAACTTATAAGATATTTGAGTAAAAACAGCTGAAGCAAAAATACTGAATATAAGTTATCACTTGGACTTTTCATTTGGCAAAACTGAAAATGTGTCAAAGAACGTTGTCCTCTTCTTTTTAACAGCATTCAGTTTGAAAACATAAACCCTGTTAAAAAACCTCTAGGATTAGTGGAAATGAAGGACTCTTGACAATCAGGAGAGGATGTTGTATGATAAATGGTCACAGATCTCACTCTGACTTTCAGTAAGAAAAAAAACTTGCAAATACAGGAGTTTTGTGATTTTTGAAAAGACTTACTCTCTCTACTTCAAAAAAAACAAAAAAAAAAACAAATGCACAGCCCCATACCCGCTCCTGAGAGGGAATGCCTATTAAACACATGCGAGTGCAAGCAGGAGCCCTTTTCTCCTCGTGCACGTTCTGTTTAAAAGTTGCTGTTTGCATTGTTCATACAAGCTTACTTTCGAAAAGAAGATTTGCAATTTTTCCACTATGTCAGACTCATCACCTGTAAGTGAAACTTGGGACGAGCACATAGGACATCCTTATGTAAACATATCACCAGAATAATTGACAACAAGGAGGACCACTTATTTTGATGATCCACCAGGAAAAGTAGTATTCTCCACTATACCTTTAATGACCACCCCCCCCATAATGTTGCCCACATTTTAACACGTACTTGATATATTCATCACAAATCTCCCTGAAGTTGGTTCTCTCTGGATCACACTTCAGATCGTCATAGAGCTTGTTGAGAAGCACGCTGGCGATCAGCTGTGTGTTCTCTGTCAGAGGGAGCTGATCCGGCAGCTCAGAAACCTGACCGCAGACCTTTAGGATCTTCTTCAGCCCTGTAAAACAAACGCATCGAATCAAGAAAACTGAGCCTCAGCAGGAGAACGCAGAGGATGTCATATGGAGCGATTGGGCTGACCGTGATCGATAGTGAAGAGGGTCCTGGAGTGATCTTTCTCTTTCTTGTCTTTGCGAGGGACATTCTTAGTCAGAAGGTTCAGCGCCTGGTCTCTGCCATGGCCTGAAACCTTCTTATTGGCTATCATCTCCAGGAGGGCAAGGAGAATGGTTTTCAATTCTTTAGCTGCATCTGCGGTGAAGAAAATGATATTATTTAAATTAATAAAAGACATGAAAATTACAGAATGACTGTCAGGTGTTGATCTAACTTTGTGCTCACCAACAAAATATTTGATCTTACCCAAAACTAAAGATGCTTCCTTCCCATAATCCCTTGTGTCTCCACCAGTGAGAGAGTCATTGATGCACTGGAAGAGGTTGCATGTTGCCAATGCAATTTCTTCATTGTCCAGCGCCATGATGCTGCAGATCTTATCAACTCCCATCATATTGACAATGGCCATCGCCTGTTAGGAAGGGAGATACATTGATTTACTGAACTGAAGGACTATAGTTGATACAACTTCTCATGTGTTTTGTATTTTTCCTCCTATTTTGGCCTTCAGCGTGTCATACCCGAGCTTTGTGTCCAGTGCACATTCCTGAGAGAGCTCGGACGGCAGCGAGGATCATTTCTGGTTTCCCGGTCTCCACCATGTTCAGCAGCAGAGCCACCCCATTGTTCTGGAAGATTCTCTCTGCTCCTGCATCTTCTCTTGACAACACAATCAAGTTGTTGGCTGCCTGGAAGTAAAAAGAACTGACCCATCAAGCAAAACCACAAATGAAATAAATCTGGAAATACCAACAGTAAATTGGTTACATTCCTGTTTCTGCTAAAAACAGGAAGTACCTACTTTTTCCTTTTTTTCTTTGTCCATTTCCTCATCCAGCAGGATGTCAAACATGTCCTGAACTCTCGAATCTGTGGAAAATGTTGTCTTGAGCTGAAAACACAAAATAAATTCATGAGATCTAGCTTTTTTCATTTTCTATACCCTCACAAAAGCAAACTTTAGTGTCATTTCTAGGCTCTTTGTTTTTTTTTGCAGGAATTAGTTGTTTTATTTGTGTTGATAACAAATTATACCTTGGCCTGGATTTCTGCTCCCAGTCTACGGAGAGTCTCCAGGAAGGTCTTGTTCTTTGGTTCAATGGTGGCACATCGCTGCACATCTTTGAAAGCCATGTCCAGTTTTCCCAGTTTCTCTAAAGCTTGGCAGCGGCGGTACAATGCTTTGATATCAGATGAATCCACATCAATTGCTGTGAACCAGGGAAAAAATAAATAAGTAATGGCCAAGTCTAAATCAATCAGTTTGTAATGCAATGTTTTCATGTTTATTACTTTACCTTTCGATGCATCCGATACTGCATTGGTATAACTTTCCTGCAACATTTACAGTAATTAGAATAAAAGTCACACTAATCTCACCTATTGTGCATTAATTTTTGTTCCGATCTACGCACCTTTTTCAGATAGCATGCGCATCTGTTCCTGTAAATCACAGCCTTCACTTTTTTGTCTGTGCACTCCTTCAGGGCGTTGGTGTAGCACTCTATGGCCTTATCAATGTCTCCAGCCTGAAAGTGTTTGTTTCCCTCATCTTTTAACAGGATTGGATCACCCATCTGACAAAAATCCAGATTCATAGTTAGGGAAAGAACAAATCACATAAAGCTTTGTTAGGCTTCGAATCTGGAGGAGAAAGATCAAAACTTAATTAGTATTTTAACATTATTTGCCGATAAAAGCAAAGATAAATGTCTTAAGTATAAGACATTTAAATAAGGCCAAATTCTTTAAATAAACTAAATGCATGAACATATTATGACATTCTATTCAATCTGTAGATATCAATAATAGGGAATTGAGGGGTAGAACCCATTCAGAATGGCCCTGTACCTAAAGGACATTAATCCCTATCTCTCATTGAGACCATATCTAATGAATACCATGTTATATATTTTCCTCACCATTGCACAGCTCTTTCCTGACCTCGGGGTCCAGAAGCAAATGGCCACACACGTGTTATCTCCTACTTTAAATGGCCTCCCTTCAAACCTTATTTGGGCATCATTTTAAACCAGCAGTGTGAGCCTTACAATGAAAGCTCATTGCTAAGTGAAAGACATACCACCGATCTTCTAATACTTCACTACCCTGAGTACACCTAATAAAAAAAAAAAAGTCTGCTACTGTACCTTCAACTTGTGCTTTGTCCTCTGTTTTTAGGGTCTTTTAAATTCTTTTCTATCCAAAGCAGATAATCCAAGCTTGCAGTCTCGAGTAGTTTGATCAGCTCTTTCTCTCTTTTCGAACCTAACCACCACTTATGCCCCCGTTTATATTTATACCGTATCTCAGTGAGGTGGGAGAGGACATAGGTGGACCAAACACAACACAGAGGGCATGCTTCCAAAAACATACAAAGCCACATGGAGAACAGTTTCGTATTCCAGGTTGGTATAAATCATAATAAACCTCACTTTTCCTGGTAGAACAAATGTTTTATTTATCAGTTTAATAATGAAAAACTTTCTTGAAACACAGTAAGAGAAGTTTGTGTGACCCCTTAAAGTTGGTCTGCTCCTGATAAGGTCTATTTAGGGAGCGGACAGCTGAGAACTCACCAGCAAATGCTTGATGGACTAGAAGGGGGGTGTAAGGGTGGGTAGGTGGACACGCTGGAGGGGGGACTTGACAGCTGAGGCACCAGGAGTGACTGGTAGCTTCTGGAAAGAATATGATTTACCACAACAGAAGGAATTAAACAATAAATTTTGAATAATAGAAGTACAATGGGTTATAAATTAGACCCCATAAGTGGGACCTGAATTTCTTGAATTACAGTTTAATTGAAAAACACTAATTTAAAAAAAAAATGTTTCTCAGGGACTTAGAACAGCTCACATTTTACTGATATGAAATAAGCAGAAAATTATGAATAGGATATAGTTTGAGATCTCTTTTTTTTTTATAACATTCATACTTCTTTTTGGCAAACAGTAATTTCCAATTCTGAATGTTGGATTTAAACTTCTGCTTTTCCTGATTAAACTGCTCATAAAACAAACAGCTGATGATTTCAATGTGTCTCCAGAGTCTACACCTTTATAGGAGGTAATATCCTTCTAAGCGTGAGGTCTCTCTAGAACCACGCCCTTTTAAAGGACGTTAACAAGGTTCTAGTTCATCTATGGCCTCATTTTTCCCCCCCAAACTTCTTATCCTGATTTTTAGAGTTTATATTATTATTATTTTGTAGTGTTTCTTTCCATGAACCTGACATTAACCATAGTCTCTGGGTTTTGTTTGTCACTGAGGTCATGACTGAAGGATGACCATTTAAGACACTTAATACAAACATTTTAAAGTTGTTCCAATATTTGATATTTGGTAAAAAAAAAAAAAAAAAAAAAAAACTTGTAATGTGTGCAAAATTTTGGCAGAAACTGAAAAACATTGAGGCTAATGAGGATCATTCACAGGAAGATGGTAGAACAAGTGCCACTTTCCAATATAAAGCCAGTTTAACAGCTACTTCAACTAAGAGTTTGTTGATCAAGAAGCATGTTCTGCTCAAACTCCTATCTTCAAGCATGACTAAAATTTGCTTCCTGTAAGTATTGGGAACTTTTCCGACTTATCTATAGACCACCAAACATAGACACCAGAACCTGATGATGCTTTCGTGGGATTGTGCAAGGATAACGGGGTTTAAACAAGGGATGCTTGCATGAATTTACAGGTGATTTTTTTTTCCTATAAACACGTACCTTAACTTTATCTAATTCACGCTGATGCTTCCAAGAACTAACCTGACTCCGCCAGATGGATTTGACTCTGCGAGTGAAACCTTGAAAGCTCGCGAGATCAGGATGGTCTCACGAGGCTTTCTAAGAACACATGCTGTCTATAAAATATTGTATCCTGTAAAATGAAAATAAAGCTTTTCTTCTTCCTCTTTGCATTAGAAAAATACCAAAATCCTTCATCCTCTGGGCTGGTATTGATCTCTAATAATAACATTGCCTTTATTGCTGACAACCAATATTTACAGATTTCATACATTCTTCTATCCTTTGGACACCATGAAAGATCGACCACAGTGCTGACATCGCTTCTCTGCTTCAGGTTAGCACCCACAAACATTACCCAATAAATAGCACAGTGATGATCCCTCCATTTCCCCTCCTGATACAGAAAACAGCAATACTAGGAAATTAATATTGGTTGTTAATATTTGCCCAATTTTACTTATCGAATGAGGCCTGATGTGCGTAAAAATGACTGACATTTGCCAACATCATTATTGATACTGATATATATCACAATGTTTCTTATGTTTACTTTAATCTGTTGACCTTTGAGTGTACTCATTATAATTCTAGTCTCTTGTGTATGTATGGATGTAATGTGCAGACATCAACCTGCAGAGGGACAAGCAGATCGACAATGGAAATAAACGCTTTGGACTATAATGTTTTACATTTACAAACACTGTTAATTTGCTCTGTAGGATGCACTGCTTTAAAATAAAGGTGAGGCCTCAAAATCTAGGTGCACTGTTAAGCATGGTAGTGGCAGCATTGGGCTGTATGCTTGTAATGTGCAATTTTATCACACTAAATGTGTGCAATAATGAAAGAAAACTGCAAACTCTTCAACAGTATTCCAACTGGACAATGATCCCAAATACACCTAATAAGTAATATTGAAAATGGAATAATTACAACTGGCTTCATATTTTTGAACTGCCAATAATCTGAAACCCATAATAAAGTTTTTAAACTTTGCATGAAAGAACCAACCAATTTAAATAAACACTACTCTTTCTGGTAGCAAGGTGCTTAATGACAATCCAGAATTACTCCAAAAACTTATTGATGTTTCAGGCAATGTGTCAGCTCTCTACAACTTGGTAAGGGATCATATCAGTGCTGGGATGTTTGTTTACATTTGAGCCTGTACATGTGTCATCATCACGCTATCCCTAGCAGAAAAGATTACCATTTTGGCCTGTGTCTCCAATTAATGCTTTATAACTGGTGTTCCCTTTAGGATCATCTGTGTATTTTTCAGTTTAAATAAATATAATTTATAAAATGATTGCACCCCCATGTTGTGTCATCATTCAACCTTAGAAAAATGGGTCAATGCATCTTTAAAAGTCCAGATTTCACACTTATGATTCTGATTGTATGTAAACGTATTATACTATATATAGAGAGAGAAAATCAATATTTGCATTCAATTTATTTTTTTCAGGATGAACACATCGACTTTGTTACTGCGCAACTCAGCTGCTATGCCATATAACCACCACAAGAGGGTGACCTTTGCCCATCTCTTTTAATAATAATAATTTACCTTTATTGATCTCACATTGGAGAAATTTACCTTTGCTTTTAGCCCATCCCCTTGGGGAGCAGTGGGCTGCCATTGTGCGGCGCCCAGGGAGCAGTGTGGGGTTAAGGGTCTTGCTCAGGAATCCAGAGTGGAGGCTGTGGGGATCATCCGGGTACCTGCAACCTTCTCATAGCAGAATCAAACTGCTCTAACCAATAGGCCAACACTCCATTTCTTGTCTATTAGGGATAATAATGTAACTATTCTGCTCATTATGGGTTATCTGATTAACTCATTAACTAATTTTTTGATTTAGTCACACAGTAACAGTTTTTCATACTTTCAAACTTTTTAAAGGAGGAAGAAAAGTCATTCTTTTTATCTGAGTTTGTCATCGATTACCTGCCATATAGGACTTTGTGATCAATGTGTGTATAAAAAGGTCAGCTTTATATGACTTGCATCTTTCATAAGGAGTGAGAGGGTAGAAGACTGCTTCTCTGATGAGAAACCTGCTAACATTACCATTTGCATTTCTCCAGATCACACTATTGCTGTGGGTCTGATCCCACCACAAACTAGATCCCATTTTCTCACAACACAATAAACTCATGGCTCTTAGGGCAAATGGGTGAGATTAATCAATGGACCCGTTTACTGTTGTGATCAAAATTATTTTCCAATATAAAAAACTTGATACACTGGACATGAGTTTTTATGGCACCCATCCCAGGAGTCACAGGGTGTAGTCACCAGTCTTCCCTAAGGCCATACACAAACATGCAGAGTTACAGCGGACAAAGAATGGCCAACTAACCTGAAGTGTGTGAGCAACACAATAAGTTTAAGAAATGTTAATAACACTCATACATGTCATGGAAAAACTTGCATATAAGACCTATAGTTAATCTTTAGAACACACATAGGAAATCAGCCACAATAGTTTTCAGCAGTTTTCTAAAAAGTGTATAAGATTAAAAAATACTACACACATTAAATGTGTTGATAAAATGTCTATGTGTTTAACATCATGTACTTTAACTACTCGGTCTTTGTAAAAGATATCTCATTTTACCAATGCATGACTTCACTCTTTTACTTTATGTTGCTGCCATATCCTCATAAAGAGACTTTAGTAGAGGAACTTCTGTAATCTTTTATGACATTTTAGACATCATGACATTTTGCTATGTTAGTTTTATTGGGTTGGGTTGTTGGTCTGTTCTACTTGTTGGTTAAATGTGTGGGTTGGATTGTTGGTGTAAACAAAGACAAAATGTCTTTTCTTCTATGGTTCTATTTATAATCTGTTTTACCAAACGAGACCTATGGGAAATATATAATACATTTGATTAAGATTCAACTATATTTGCATGCTAACTATAAAGTAGATAGAAAACACAATTTTATGTTTGTTTAGTTTGCATTTGTTAGTTTTCTCAAATTAAAGTAGGACATCTCTAGAATTTCATTTAAAGGAAGGAGGTTCATGTTAAAAAGTGCTGAGTATCTGCACAATTGAACTGATATTAAAATGGTGTCATTTATCCAAACAAAGAATGCTTGCATACTTAATTTAATAACATTATGCGGAGGTGTTTTCTTTCATCTCTATTTCACACAAAGGAGACAAACATAAATGACTAGTAGCCTTAGCATTTCCTTATCACCTTACTTTTTCAGTGAGCAAATAAAACTGTGCACAAACATTTATAAATTAAGCAGTTTCATTTTTTCTTTATAGATATACATATACTAACATAATTGCTAGCCAAGTGCGTGTTAACCTTTCAAAATGTCTTTAAGATTAAAGCACTAGACAATTTGTATTCTAAAAGATAAAAATGTAGAAGTTTAACAGGAAGGTTACTTTGAGGAAAAATAGAGGGAGAGGGGGTACGAATAATAAGTTTTACTTCTTCATACCTCTTTTCAGACAATCTACATTAATCGTCATTTCTCTGGCTGTATATACCGACAAGTTTATTTGATGGAGGGTTTTGTTTCTATTTATTTTAAGGTGAATTTAGTTTGTTTAGAAATTGATGTTTGGTTTGGTGTTAACTAGTCTCTTTTTGTGTGTATTTGGTTGATTTATTTATTGTTGTTTGTCAAAATTTCTTATTAATGGTCGGAAATAAATTCCTTTTCATTTCAAGGATATAATTTTCTAAATGTGCTTTTCATCAGGTAAATGTGCCATTTAAATAATAATAATCAAGCAATATCCAAAACATCTGATCTTGTATCATACCAAAGAAGTGCTTAGGATTCCCATAGATGGAAAAAACTTATCCGCTCTGCAAAGGCCTTGGCTTCTAGAAAGATACTGGAAACAAGCAGGCCAGGCTTGTCCCTTGGGAAAATGTTTACCTGTTTTTCTGCCGCACTGCATTAAACATTCTAAAACAACAATCCTAATGTGATATTGTAACAGTTTAATATCAGTAATATAGGCAGTTATAGCTCGAAATGGAGCTGACAATTTGCATGAACTTCTGTGAGTAGAATAATTGTCAAAAAAAACAACAACAATAAATCGTCAACTTATACAACAACAACTTATTACATTTTTTCAAAGAGAATATTAGTTTTCTGAATGTTTATGGAAGGCATTAGAGGAGCATATTTGAAATTTAAACATACATTTCCATCCAACACAAATAGAAAAATTCAAACTTTGTCCTTTCGGATTATAACTCCAACACATGATGTAAAGAACGAAATATTATATTCCTACTGAAATCACCTCAATCTACCACCGATCTTGTGTCATGAAGAGCTGTTCTCTTTTTCTTCTGTTGCAGAATCTGCCCGCACAAATCAAACAATCAGCTGAGAGGCAGAGAAGGCTTCTTAATTAGAGGAAATTAATGGGTTGCATTGCACCTCATATGAGCAAAAGGATGTTAAGCTTATAAAAATGAATTCTGCGATTAGAAATTGTTCACACTCTTGCAGAACATCTATGTTTACAACCGTTACCCATTATCTATGTTTTTAATCATCTTCTGTCCAGTTTTATTTTTAATTCAAAAATACTTTATTGAATCCAAAGGGAAATAAATTTTGTTGTAACTCTTGATTTTGTTTTTTTGACCAGTTGTTGTAGATGTTGTCTTGTCAATCTCTGATCCACCCAACAATAATAGAGTCACCAGACTACCATCCTCACAGTACTGTCTGCCTTGTCTAAATGACAGTGGGTTCCCTGAAGCAGGTGTATGGTGGCATCTTCAACTCTAACGCCATGATGATAAGCAAACTGCAGGGGGTCCTGGTAGCTGCTTGTCTGTTTGCTGTGGTGAACCAACAGAAGTCTCTCTAGGACCTTCATGATGGGGGATGTCATGGCAACAGGTCTATAGTCATTTAGGACTGCTGGGTGACTTTTTTTTTTTTTTTTGGTGCTGGAACAAGGCAGGAGGTCTTCCAAGTCACTGGCACTGTCTCTTTGGTCAGGCTAAGGTTGAAAATATGATGTAAAATCCCATAGGGTTGCTCTAAATTGGCCTTCAGGATGCTGGGGCTGACAGCATTAGGACATGTTCACTTATTATGATTCAGTCTCTCTACTTGCATCTTCACTTAACTTCCTGAGACAAAAAGGGTGAAATGAAAGGAGCACCTCTAGAAGCAGGAAGACAAAACATTTGAGGTGTGTGAGAGAAGCTTTGATCAAAGGATTACAATATATATAAAAGATGAATTTACCAAACATAAACTTAAAACACAGTAACTGGAAATCATGTTTACTTAAGAAATATTTAAAATGCCTGGAGGACTTAGGAGCCAACTAACATCAGTTAAGAAGGTGCTTGAAATGTTTGCTTTGAAAGAAACATTGGATTAGGGATTTGTGTTTTCCTGTCACTGAAAATGGCAAACATGGTTGTTGCTTTTAGTCATCTATCTGGATCCTCAAATGGCTCACATCAAAGCTCTTATCTGACAAACCAAATGGAGCTAAAGTTAATAAAATAAGCCAATCTGAAACTGTTTCATCACCCGAGCCTCTTGCCAATCCCAAACCCAGAACTCTTGGTTCTTTATAAGAAGAGTGCCAGATATCTGATAGGGTTTAGAAAGAAACTAGGCCAGCAGAAAACTGCAGTTTTCCATTTGCTCTGAGAACAGCTCAGCGGACACAGACACATTGTGAACGTGACTCCACTGATTCCCTTAAAGCCAAAGAAAATGTATCAAGCATCCTTGTAACAGTAACTCTAAAGATTAAGAAACAAGGGGAGGCTTTAGAAAAACAACAGACTATGTACATTTTATCTAAGTTGTCAGTGATGGCTGTAAAATGAAGATAAATATTTAAATGCTCAAAGGCTTTCTTTTATTTTGAAATAAAACCTGCAGATACTTCATCAGAAACTTTACTAATGTCTATTCAGGAAATGTCAGAGCTGACTCTACTGCTCAGGAGACTAAGATCTCTCAAATTGACCCATCAAGGTCTAAAGATTTTGTAGTATTATATACCTCATCAACCTTGTTAATAGCCTATTAATGTTTTATGCATAAATGTACAATTAGGTTTTGCTTTGGGTTGTTCAAGCTCTTATAAAAAAAAAACATACAGACTCTGTTTTTGACAGATTTTATGAGGCGTGTCTAGTTAAAGCATAGGCATTACCTAAGAGATATATATCTCTGAATACTCTTTCTTGTTTTAACGTTAATCATGCTTTCAGTGATTCCCAATTCTCATCAATGCCATTGATAGAAAAACACATTATACAGCATATATGTGGTATTTTCACTTTTTCTTTACGATTAAAATCTTAAATGCGTTATGTATACTTGCCTTCAGCTCTCATCGGCCAATGCTTTAAAGATTTTTTTTTTCTGGGTATACATCTATCATCTCAGCATATTCTTTCTTGCAAGACAGTTCAAGCCTTGCCAGATTAGAGGTTCGGCATTTCTTGAACACTGATTTTAGAGATTTGACACAGATTTCCTAATAGGTTTAAGTCTGGACGTTGAATGTGCCATTCCACCAAAGACTTGTATTTTGTTCCAAACAAGGTTTACTGTAAAAATTCACCAATCTTACAATTCTTTCATAAATACAATTGTTGTTATCCAAAGACTCCTAGTTTTCGCTAATTCACTCACTTGCACTCTGCATCTTTGGCTGCTTTTCTGATTAAAATGTTTCCTTTCAAATCAGTTGTTTTCTTCTTTATATTGATCTAAGACATTAAAATAATAACTGAATACAATATCGTTATAAATATAGATGAATAAATACATTTGGAGACACTGCACTCAGGCAACAGAAGCGGATGACTCTACTGAATTCAATTCAATTCAGTTTATTTATATAGTGCCAATTCACAACACATGTCATCTCAAGGCACTTTGCAGTTCACCAGATCATGCAGTCAAATTGATTCAAAGTTTTCTATCTAAGGAAAACCAGTTGATTGCATTGACTCATTGACTCGGATTCAATCCCTCACACTATGCTTGTAGTGACAGTGGAGAGGAAAAATTCCCTTTGAACAGGAAGAAACCTCCAGCATAACCAGGCTCAGTGTGAGCGGCCATCTGCCGAGGCCAACTGGGGTTCAAGGAGACAGAAGCAGAGATACAAAAAACAACTGTAAAAGGCGGCCATGCCCAGGAAAGACAAAGCAAGGCAGACGAGCTCCGAGCTAACTCCCATGTCAGAGGATGAAGAGGGCACATCCAGCCAGTCACAGTCAGAGAAACAGGACTGCACTGGAAAAACAGGCCGATCTCCGACATCTATAAACGAAGGTGTTGATAGCCGCAGCACAGCTAATATTTCTCTCCAGGATGGTGTCACAGTCAAACAGGAACAGATGAGGCGAAGCTACTATGAGAAAAGGCAGAGGGAGCATAACGTTAGAGATTAAACTAATTAAACAGATTCTGCAGAGTGGGAGAATAGATACAGAATGAAGCAGAATGATGAAATAGGGGTCCCTATGTCCTCCAGCAGTCTAAGCCTATACCAGCATATCTATAGAGATAGCTGCCTGTGCCACTCTAACTATATGCTTTATTAAAAAGGAAAGTTTTAAGCCTAAACTTAAAAGTAGACAGGGTGTCTGCTTCACTAAAACTATTGCGTATTTTAATTTGAAACTACCGGACCGGAAATAGAACTCTTGGTAGCTACGTAATGCTCAGTCTGTGCCTGCTCTGCATCTTCCTTTCAAACCAAAATACTTAGGCGCTGCATCTGCCCGGCTTAAGTCCATAGTCTTATGTTTGATATTTGTAAGTGATGTAGAATGGCGTCAGTCTTTGGGAAGATAGTCGTCGGTACTTATGTGGAGATTAAGCGGAGTGATGGTAAGTTATTGGTCTGTCCACTTTTTTTTGTTCTTCTTTACTTAGTTGTTGGCTGATCGTTGTTGCTGCGGGTCTGTTGAGTATAGCAACCGTTGTTCCCTTTTCTCGGCCGCAGAGCCTGTCGTTTAGCATTAGCAACGTCCAAACGGAAACATAAGCTGGCAGGACAGGCTGGGCGGCTGCTCTCAGCTCGGCCTTGGTACTTGAATGGAAGAGGCTTATCTTTGTTAGCAAACGCCTGGATCAATTTAGTACATGGTGGCTGTATCTGCAACATGCTATAGTTTGATAGCATCGTATGCGAACATTGAAAAATTAAAAATAATAATAATAAATATTATTGCAATTAAGTGTATGTTTTTCAGCCATAAAAACTATATGACCAGGATAATTTATTATTTTTATTTTCTTCTTCTTTTTTTTTAAACAAGCTAGGCTAGCTAAGTTATTACCGATGCTGAAAGCGGCATTAGCCGTTAGTTAGCTTAACGGCTAGCCCCGGCTTCATGTCGGCTTAAACTTATCAGTAATTTTATAGAAGCTTATCCCATCGTTTTTGGTGTCATAGTTATTCAACGTTTTCTTTCTAGGTTAGAAATAGTGTTGTCAACATGCCACTTTGTTTCTATGGTAAATATGACGGAAATACAGTCGAATATATACTGTGTTTTTACCTAAATGTCAGGCACAAGTAAAGACAATAGACAGGCGTTTACCAGTGACACACCTGCTTTCAACGTGTACATCAAAAGTAACCACGGTGCTTTTTAAAAAGATCTATTGGGTGCATTTTTTTTAAATAAAAAACACTGCGTTTTGCATTAACAGCCATGCTAAAATATAAAAAAAGCATCAATGCAATGAATGGGACATCCAGGCAACTTTGTTGATTTTTCAAGTGTTGCATGGTGTAGTTGAAATAGTGATTTGGGGAAAATAGAGTTTATAATGCAATCTGTGTTTCCCTGTTTATCCAACGCTCTTTCTCCTGACTGATAGCTGTAGTTAAGGAGAGAGAGGAAGGTATATTTGCCTGTCTGTTTTCTTCTTGTGTCCAGAGTAGGGATTGTCCTCTCTGAGGGTTTGGGGCATTGTTGGTCCAGACTCCAGCCAGTTCCAGGCTATTAGCCACCACCCCATCTGTTCAGGTCTCTGCCAGGACTCTCGCTTATCCACT